TGTGTGTGTGTGTGTGTGCATCACTTACTTGGAGCAATGTTCCTTTCACTGATATCAGCCAAATCGACCAGATTTGTACCAATTTTCAAGCCACGCACGCAACCGATATAACCCTCCAAGGATGGCGTGTCATCCGGATTAGGGCGCAATAAATTTGCTGGATCGTATCCACCAACATTGAATTGAAAATAATCAGTAGGCGGTGCTGGTGGACGATGTGGTGAGAGAACTTCTACAATAAATAAAATAAAAAGTAATACACAAAAAACCAATGAACACCATCTAAACAACATTCGTTTGTTTATATGTTTTTCCTGCAAACTCCCCACCAAAAAGAAGAACAAAAACGCACAAAAAAAACAAAATAAGGAAAAAAAGAAACCAAGAGGAAACCAAGTGCGATAATCAATGATAAATGTTTGCAAGCGTGTGGATGGGTGTGCGCTTAAAATTCTAAAAATTTACAGCCTTAAGGTTAAAACCCATATAGTAAATTATGGGTTTTTCGTCATTGATCTTCGTTCACACAAACGTTAACTATTTCTATTTATGTGTAAGTGCACATGTGCGGCTTTGTAGTGGTTATAAATGGTAATAAGCCTGCATGTGTTCCGTATGTTCTATATATATATATATATATATATAGATGTGTTGTGTATATATATATATATATACATATATATATATATATATACAATGTTTATATATATATACTATATATATATATATACTATATATATGCTTACGGCATATATATTGTGCATGTATATGTATTTAGCATATTGTAAACGAGATGAATATCATCATATATCGCATTACATTTGATTTGTTGTTTGCATAATTGAAATAGTTAGATGCTGCTAGCTTTCTCTCTACCTATGTATATGTCTGTATTTATATTTAGGTAGACATGGATGTACGTTTGTTTACCAGCTTACCAGTTGGCATTATTGCCTATTTATGTGGGCTATTGCGTCGGTTTATTCTCTGTTCAAATGTGTGTATTTGCGGTTTTACGCACTTGTGGTTTGGCGTTTTGTGTCCATGTCTCTGTGCATATGTTCGTCCACTGGCTGGCACTGACAATATGACCGACCACTCTTACATTGATGATACATATACACGGCATTGTAAATAGGAATTAATGGATATACGCATATTATGATTGTGCATATGTGCCATGTGCGCTTGCGAAAGATAAGAGTTCTTGTGCGAAATTAATGGTTTTTACCACTTTAAGGTGAGAGAGAGAGAGAGAGAGAGAGAGAGAGAGAGAGAGAGAGAGAGAGAGA